TTTACAAATGAATTCCATTTTGATTTTTTATTCACATAATGAAATTTTACTCAAACCAAAAAATAGAAGATTTACGTTATGCAATACTGTAATAATTGTATAAATAATATCACCACATTTGTGAATGTATATTAGATTAGATGTGTGGGATCATTTGTTTACTTTTGAACATCGGCAAAAATTTAACATTTCTGCTATTTTGAGCTCAGTTTCAACCCATTTCCATTACTAAAACCACTCAAAATCATCTCTATTTCTGTATTATATCTTCCATTCTATCAAATGAGACCAAGAAATTGCAAGTATAACTATAAAAAACATACGAAAAAACACTGCAAAGTCGCTGTTTTAATAAAAAATTACGGTCTCAGTTTGTTTTCTCTCATATGCACTGTGTGCTGCAGGATTTGTTTTATGTGGTGCACACATACCACAAAGATGTATTCTCTCATATCTAGGCCCATATTTACTGCTCACAGCTTATCAGAGTGAACTGAGCTCATGGTGTAGATCTACGGTTTGGACCCTCAACGTATAGCTGTAGATCTACAGCACGGACCCTCAAAGGGTAAAAATCACCAGCAAGTAGCAGGTGGTGTTTATTCATCTCTGAGTCAGTTATTGTGTTTAAGTTGTCACTGAATGTGTAAGTAGTGGAGGGAGGAGCATTGATGAAGGGATTCAGGGATACTGGCAGGCTGGACTTGAGTCCCGGAGGTGGGAAGTACTGTGCCTGCACTCGGAAAGAGTGCAGGCATGGTAATAAGTCGCAGTTTTATCATTGTAGTGTAGGGTTAATCTTAAGTTAATTTTAAGCTAGCCCGTAATGCTATGCATATAAGTGGCTTTGGCATGCTGCTCTTACCTGTATTTTTTGTACCTCTGTATGTATGCTTAAATTACTAAATAAATAAATAAATAAATAAATAGGCACACCTCTGGCAAGACAGTGATGGAGTGAATGATGATGAAGGTGTTTCTTCTTTTTTGGGTCACCCTGCCTTGGTGGGAAATGGCTGATGTGTTAACACAAAAAAAATTAAACCAGCCAATAAATAATTCCTCTATCATCTATGCTTTTAAAGCATGACAAGTCTTGGAGCTGTAAATAACCATTGGCTTACACTTCAAATTGCCTGAAGCATTACTGCTAAGTAGCAAGTTGAGATATCCTTTGCCACCTTAACTCTTAAACGGACCAAAGGTATATATACGTTCACTCGCGCAGCACCCCGAATATTTTGAAAAAAAAAAAATACAGTAGACCCCCGGTTTACGATATTTTTTCATTCCAGAAGTATGTTCAGGTGCCAGTACTGACCGAATTTGCTCCCATAAGGAATATTGTGAATTAGATTAGTCCATTTCAGACCCCCAAACATACACGTACAAACGCACTTACATAAATACACTTACATAATTGGTCGCATTGGGAGGTGATCGTAAAGCGGGGGTCCACTGTAGTTTTTTTTTAATAGAAAAAAAGAGCACCTTTTTCTAAGTGTTATAGAGTAAAAAAAAAAAAATTAGGGTCAGTACTTACCAAGATATGAGGCCGAGAAGTTGGCACTGAATGCTCATGTGACAACAACATCCAGTCCTGCCGCTTGCAGAAGTGTTGCTGGTATACCTTTTTTTTTATTCATATTATTTTATGTAATTTTTATTTTCTGATAATTACAATTTGTAGTAGTTCTTGTCATTTTATAACCAATCTTTGTTCTGACACTAATATTAGGTACTGAAATTGTACTCAAATTGTCACAAACACATTGACAGGTGGACATTTACACCTGCCTTGGTCATTTACTATTGTCTTGGAATATATACAAAGTATTCATATGTCCCAGCAATGTTTTGGATATGTGAAAGTATATAATAATAATGAGGAAGAGGAGGAGGAGGAGGAGGAGGAGGAGAAGGAGGAGGAGGAGGAGGAGAAGGAGGAGGAGGAGGAGGAGGAGGAGGAGGAGGAGGAGGAGGAGGAGGAGAGGAGGAGGAGGAGAAGGAGGAGGAGGAGGAGAGAAGGAGGAGGGGAGGAGGAGAAGAAGGAGAGGGAGGAGGAGAAGGAGGAGGAGGAGGAGAAGGAGAGAGGAGGGAGGAGAGGAAAGGAGGAGGGAGAGGAGGAGAGGAGGGAGGGAGGAGGAGAAGGAGGAGGAGGAGGAGGAGGAGAAGGAGGAGGGAGGAGGAGAAGGAGGGAGGAAGGGAGGAGGAGAAGGAGGAGGAGGAGAGAGGAAGGGAAGGAGGAGGAGGAGGAGGAGGAGGAGAGGGAGGAGGGAGGAGGAGAGAGAGGAGAAGGAGGAGGAGGAGGAGGAGGAGGAGGAGGAGGAGGAGAAGGAGGAGGAGGAGGGAGGAGGAGGAGAGGAAGAGGAGGAGGAGGAGAAGGAGGAGGAGGAGAGGAGGAGGAGGAGGAAGGGAGAGGAGGAGAGGAGGAGAGGAGGAGAAGGAGGAGGAGGAGGAGAAGAGAGGAGGAGGAGGAAGGAGAGGAGGAGGAGGAGAAGGAGGAGGAGGAGAGGAGGAGGAGGAGAGGAGGAGGAGAAGAAGGAGGAGAGGGAGAGGAGGAGGAGGAGGAGAGGGGAGAGGAGGAGAAGAAGGAGGAGGAGGAGGAGAGGGAGGAGAGGAGGAGAAGGAGGAAGGAGGAGGAGGAGGAGGAGAAGGAGGAGGAGGAGGAGAAGGAGGAGGAGGGAGGAGAAGAAGGAGGAGGAGGAGGAGAGGGATGAGGAGAAGGTGGAGAGGGAGAAGGAGGAGGAGGAGAAGGAGAAGGAAGAGGAGGAGGAGGAGGAGAAGAAGGAGGAGGAGGAGAGGAGGAGGAGGAGAAGAAGGAGGAGGAGGAGAAGAAGAGGGAGGAGGAGGAGGAGGAGGAGGAGAAGGAAAAGGAGGAGAAGGAGGAGGAGGAGGAGAAGGATAAGAAGAAGGAGAAGGAGGAGAAAGAGAAGGAGAAGGAGGAGGAGGAGGAGGAGAAGGAGAATTAGGAGAAGGAGGAGAAGGAGAAGGAGGAAGAGGAGGAGGAGGAGGAGAAGAAGGAGGAGGAGAAGGAGGAGGAGGAGCAGAAGGAGGAGGAGGAGGAGCAGAAGGAGCAGGAGTAGGAGGAGGAGGAGTAGAAGTAGGAGGAGGAGGAGGAGTAGAAGTAGGAGGAGGAGGAGGAGGATGACGACGACGACGACGACGACGACAACAACAACGATATGTTCCCTTGAAGCATGAAAAACTAAGTCCACCCCTGACAGTGACATGATAAGATGAGATAACATATGATAAGAGCTGACGTTTGATGAGCATACACGAGGGTGGGGGAGGGTGCAGCTGATAAGAAAAGATTAGATGACAGTCCGCCTAGCTTTGTTTTTGCTGGTACACAAACATTTCTGTCTGTCTATTTGTCTGTCTGCCAAGCTCCCTGTCTATCTGTCTATCCGTCTAGCTCTCTGTCTCAGAGAGAGCCACAAGACTGCGGCATCACATTTACTCACATCTTCAAGCAGAGTATAGCACTTTGTCTGGATTTTTGGGTTATCCTAGGTAATTTATACTACGTATACTTGTATTTATGTGTACCTGTGAGACAGATAGACAAAGACAGATTGAAAGAGATAGAGACAGATAGACAAAGCCAGAGACAGATAGAGACAGACACAGATAGAGACAGAGATAGACAAAGATAGACAGAGATCGACAGACCCTAAACTTGGGGTTAACATCACTTTCCTCTTAAAAGAGAAGTGTTAATATGACATTACATCAGTGAATCCTTGGTGTTTGCTGCACTGTTTGCTCTAGCTGGTGCTCAATTTAACTGGTGCTCCCACAAGGTACTAAGTGGTCCCAGATTGTTTTAATACTGAGCACACCGAGTGTTAAGACCAATTCTATGCTGACCAGGCATCTCAGGCCAATCGTGCCAAATTTGGAGGCAGGAAAAAAAAACGTATATATACTTTTGGGGCGCTACGCGAGTGAACGTATATATACGTTTGGACTGTTTAAGGGTTAAATCCCGGTGCACTTTTGTCTTGCTGGTTGATGCAAGTTCTCACCAGTTGGCATCTTCTGATAAAGACTTGCTTAGTCAGCATTAAACACTTTGTGTCTCCTAGCCATCCCCAGAAATAATTTCCTGTAATTCAGAAAGCAATTTCCTGCAGCAGTATGGTCAGCAGAAGCACTTCTATCAGAAAATTTAATATTTTGCATCAGCTTGCACAGTTTGAACTTTTGGAACCATCCTATACTAAACACACACACACATGCTCAGGCCTGTCTTCCTCATCGCACACTTTTATAGTTCTCTAAGGCTTTTGCTCTTATTAAGATGAAATTAAGTAGTGAGCCTCTGTTTTTTTTGCTCAATTCATTCACCCGGTAGTTTTTCTGCCATATTTAGCTGTTGTGACCTAATTGTCATTCTTTTCAGGTTACAACCTGAGTTGCTGATTGCGCAAACTCTATCTTTGTGTCAGTCTAATTAGTTGCATGAATTGATGCCTCATTCAAGCCATAGGCTCAAGCCATATCCATCACACCTGCTTCACCCTTAAGCTTATCTGATATCTTGATTTTCTTCAAAACACCAAGACTTTCACACTTTGAGGATCACTGCCATTCCTCTTGAGTGCCATGGTTACCATCTAGAAATGAAATAGGATGAAATGATTGAAAATCAGTTCACTAACACAGGCCAAGTATGGTATTACACGAGTACTAATAGAGCACTGAAGCAAGGGAAGGTGTGTACATTATGTAGTCCTCCCTGGTAAGACAGTGAACTTGCCCTAATGCTCACTGCAAGACAGAGGGGAAAGAACCTGATGCATGCCACATCGCTGATTAATACAGCATTTTCACTGAAAATATGTTGCAGTTTTTCAGTCATGTTAAAGGGTAAATATGTTAATAGATTGCATGTTAACCAATGATCTACTGTACTTTGTTGCTATATTCGTATATATAGCCATTAGAACATTTCACTGAACTTGCACATTAATGCTCGTTACTAATTGCAGCTCGGATCTTCACAATCTATGTAGAGTCTGCAGACCCGGCCCTGTTGATGAACTTTTGCACCTCCTTTGTTCTGAACATCTTCATCATCATTGCTGCTGCCATGTACAAACCAAAACAGAAGAAGAATTAGAATTTAAGAAAATCTGACAGAGAAACTTCATTCATTTCAAGGTAGTGACTAATTAAATATACAGTTAAATGTACAAGAAAGAAGAATTACTGGTACTAAAATATATGTACTAAATGTTGATGCTGCATTTATTGTTTTGTTTTTTGTATAAGTATATATATACTAGTAGTAAATATAGTTTAAGACTTGTTGATATCATTCCATACTTGGTGAAGCAACTGGTGCTCAAGCTCACCACTGCAGTCTGTGTGACTTATTACTACTTTAATCTCCTCCATATAATTACTTACTATTTTTGTTGCAGCTGAAGAACTTAAACATCATTTATAGCTTTGTTTGCCAGAAGTCTGAGCAGATTATTTTGTTTACTGCTTTATGTCCCCTGCTTGAAGAGACATTAGTAATAATGTATAATAAACAAATGACAATAAATAACCCAAATTTTGCTTTAAAAATATTGTAAGAGTAATTTTTTTTTATGCTGTGTCAGGAGTTTTGCCATTGATATTAAACAGGAAGCACAAAGACAGTAATATCTGTGAGATATGTATTGTAGGAATCATAAAAAAAAAGTTGCAGGAATAGAAAGTTGGTAGTGTATATGTATATACAGTTACTAGAAGTTCTCTTAGAATTATCTTGGCAACCAATAGAGAGGGAAATGTATATTATTATTCTATATACTGTGTGTGTGTATACTTTTATATATATATATATATATATATATATATATATATATATATATATATATATATATATATATATATATATATATATATATATATATATTTATACAGGTTGGCCATCACTAATCCGTCATCATTGGGACCTGGAGTGTGCCGGATTAGTGAGTTTGCTGGATTACAGAGTGGTTAGGTTAGAATACACTTACTTAACCTATCAGTAGAGACTCTTTCTGCTACATCTTCCTCATTTTCATCACTGCTATGGATTTACAACCATCTGCACAATTTCTGAGTCAGTATAATGATGAAACTTGAGTCAGTATAATGATTTAAGTTAGTATTATGATGAAATTTGAAATTATGCTAGCCGAAATTAGTGCCGGATTACTGATGGAACCGGATAACTGATTGCCGGATTAGTGATGGCTGACCTGTGTGGTGTGTGTGTGTGTGTGTGTGTGTGTATATATATATATATATATATATATATATATATATATATATATATATATATATATATATATATATATATATATATATATATATATATATATATATATATATATATATATATACACATATATATATATACACAGTGGACCCCCGGTTAACGATTTTTTTTCATTCCAGAAGTATGTTCAGGTGCCGGTACTGACCGAATTTGTTCCCATAAGGAATATTGTGAAGTAGATTAGTCCATTTCAGAATTTCAGATCCCCAAACATACACGTACAAACGCACTTACATAAATATACTTACATAATTGGTCGCATTGGGAGGTGATCGTTAAGCGGGGGTCCACTGTATATATCTATATATATATATATATATATATATATACACACACACAGTGGAACCTCTACTTGCGAGCGTGTCCACGTGCGAGTTTTTCCAAATATGAGCAGTCGATGGGTCGAATTTTTGCTTCCATACGCAACAAAATTTCCACAAGCAAGCATACCTAAGGCAGGCTCCTTGACACTGGTGAGGGGCTCTTGCTCTTGATCTCAGGAATTGTATCTCATTTATTTGTTGGACTATCTTGTTGAAACTTGGGCAATGTATGATGGAAAGATGCTTCTTAACGTACACCAAAAATGAAAGAAATCTAAGCATAAATAATGGAGTTCACTTTTCAGCAATTAGCCACCCCTTAGTGGTAATTTTGAATGGTTTTTATGGTTGTATTCTCATTTTTTTTGGTCTCATTTGATAGAATGGAAGATATATTACAGAAATAGATACGATTTTGATTGCTTTCATGACGAAAAGTACCTTGAAATAGAGCTCAACCTAGGAGAAATGGTCCATTGCTTGGCTGTTTCAGTGTAAACAAATGACATCACAGTAAATCTTATATTTTTTGTGTGAATAAAAATTACAAATTATTTATATAATAATAATAATAATAATACAGGTCCTCCATCACAAATCCGGCATCATTGGGACCTGTAGTGTGCCGGATTACTGAGTTAGCCAAATTACAGAGTGGTTAGGTTAGAATACACTTAATAAAATTAACCAACTTGACTTAAACAGTTCATTGAATATCAGCAAAAATCGAACATTTCCGCTACTTTGAGCTCAATTTCAAGGTACTTTTCGTTATGAAAGCAATCAAAATCATGTCTATTTCTGTAATATATCTTCCATTCTATCAAATGAGTCCAAAAAATGAGAATATAACCATAAAAACTAAACGAAAATATACTGCAAAGAGGCGGCTAATGGCTGAGACGTGAACTCCCTTATTTATCGTCTTTTTTATTTTTGTTGTACGTTAAGAAGCATCTTTCCATCATACATTGCCCAAGTTTCATGAGGATAGCCCAACAAACAACCGAAAAAAAAAAAATATTTACCAAAAATCATATATGGCAAGCCCAAGCCAGTACTGGAAATAAGTCACTTTGACTTTTCTGGGTTATCCTAGGTTCTCTACACATACACTGCTATGTATGAAATCTATGTAACTGTAATTTGTGTATACCTGAATAAACTTATTTACTTCTAGTCTGTAAAACTGAGTACAAGAAACCGCCCATTCACTTATTTCAATACCCAATAAAGTGGTCAAAAATTTGGGCAGTTTGGCTGATTTCACACAAATTTCAACAGATCCCAAATTTTCAAAATAGTGTCCAGAATAAACAATGTAGACTTTTCCTGGCACTAAAAATATTTTCTCTGTCATTAGTCATGGCTACGGGCCCCCTCTTAATCACTCTTGTTTAACCATTTGGAATTTTTATTCACAAAAAAAAAAAAATAGAAGAAGATTTACTGTTATGCAGACTACTGCATTATTGTAATAATTGTATAAATATGGTCAATCCATTCTTGGCTCTGTACTGGAATTTGGACGGCGGGCGGAACAGGTATTGTCGGTGAGTCATTTGTTTACTTTTGAGCTTCGCTAAAGAATAGAACATTATCGCTACTGTGAGCGAAATTTCAAGGTACTTTTCGTCATGAAAGCAATCAAATCATATCTATTTTTGTAATTATCTTTCATTCTATCAAATGAGACCGAAAAAATGAGAATATAACCATAACAACCATACAAAAATATACCGCTAAGCGGCCGCTAATGGCTGAGAAGTGAACCCCGCTATTTATGGTCTGATTTCTTTCATTTTTGGTGTACGTGAGAAGTATCTTTCCATCATACATTGCCCAAGTTTGAATAAGAAAACCCCAACAAAAAAACGAGAAAATATAATAATAATAATAATAATAATATCTTTTTTTACTACACGTACATGTACAAGGTATACAGGCCTAGCTGACATCAGTGACATACTATATATAAAAAAGGCACTTGTTATGCAGAGTATTTCAAGAAAAATTAGGTTCAGTGTCCCAGGATACACCCACACTAGTCGACTAACACACAGGTACCCATTTACTGATGGGTAAACATAGACAACAGATGTAAAGAAACACGCCTAATGTTTTACCCGGCGGGGATTGAATATTTACCAAAAAACATTATGGCTAACCCCAAAGGCCAGGTAACTAAAAAAAAGCCACGTTGACTTTTTTGGGGTTATCCTAGGTTCTTACAATATGCTGCTATGTGTGATAATCACAGAGTGAAAATAACTTTTTTGTTTCATGTTTAGGGTGGAGTACGAGTGTATATCATAGTTAGCCCTGTGCTACACTCCGTTTTCTCTAATATAAGCCACCAAGACAAGGATAGGAAAATGGTATTTGTTTACCATATCCTCTTCATAACTCTGTCGAACTGCTCGGTGTTATGCCAAATATTATTCATTTGGAGTATTTAACATGTTTTATGTTATTTATATTGTTTCTATGTCATATTAGATCAGTTGTGATAGGCAAATAAGCTGTAGTGTTGATATTAGCGTAATAATGAAGCATATTCTCCTGCATCATGAGACTGAGTTCATGGGAACTGACAGTGGCTTCAAAGCCACCTTATCTTTAATGGATAATGTACTGTGTAGGTGTTTTACATAATGAGAAGCATTTCTTTTATTCATTGGAACCATGGCTAAGGCTAAAAGTAAGCAGGTTAAAACAATAAATGGAGAAAAAGAAATTGGAATGGCTTATGCAGCAAGTAGCGCCACCAAACAGTACCAGCAGGTTGGTGTGGCGACCCTGGAAATTTGAAATTATGCTAGCCAAAATGCCGAATAACTGAAGGAACCGAATAACTGATTGCCGGATTTGTGATGGCGGACCTGTAATAAAAGAAATCTAAGCATAAATAATGGAGTTCACTTCTCAGCAATTAGCCACCCCTTAGCAGTAATTTCAAATGGTTTTTATGGTTGTATTCTCGTTTTTTTGGTCTCATTTGATAGAATGGAACATCTATTACAGAAATAGATATGATTTTGATTGCTTTCATGATGAAAAGTGCCTTGAAATTGAGCTCAACCTAGGAGAAATGGTCCATTGCTTGGCTGTTTCAAGAGTAAACAAATGACATCACTGTCCATTCCAATATGCAGTCGTGAATGGGTTGACATATTTATACATTTATTGCAATAAGGAATAACAGTAAATCTTATGTTTTTTGTGTGAAAAATTACAAATAATTTATATAATAATAATAATAATATGTATAATAATAATATGATTAATAACAATACGTATAATAATAATAGTATAATACAATAATAATAATAATAATATAATATATATAATAATAATACATATATAATAATAATGTACTACATATAATAAATATAATAATAGATGGTTTCAAAAGGCTGTCACTAGATGGCAGTGTTTACTACAACAAAGAGGGAGGGGTTGTGCCTGCCTCCACCTGTTACATAATGACATATTTTATTCATTCTAGAGTATATATCATGTTTCTATGTTATTTATATTGTTTGTTATGTCATACTAGATGAACTGTGATAGATAAATAAGCAGTATAGATGATATTAGCAAAATTATTCATGAAGAATTTTGCCCAGTCTCCAGACAAACTCTCGTCCACCGCCGACACCGCCCATACCACTACATGAATGACATATTTTATTAATTTTAGAATATATATCAGGTTTCTGTGTTATTTATATTGTTTATTATGTCATATTAAATGAAGTGAGATAGATAAATAAGCCGTAGAGTTGATATTAGCGAAATTATTGAAGTACAGAATTCCACTGGAATGGATTAATTGCATTTCAGTTAATTTAAATGAGGAAAATTGACTCTGCAAACAAGCAAATCCAGTTGCGAGCAAGGTCATGGAACGGATTAAACTCGCAAGTAGCGCTCCCAACACGACCAATTATGTAAGTGTATTTTTGTAAGTGCTTTTATAAGTGTATTTTTGAGGGTCTGAAATGGACTAATCTAATTTACATTATTCCTGATGGGAATAAATTCATTCGGTAAAGGCACTTGAACAGCCTTCTGGACCGAAGAAAGTTCGATATTTGAGGTTCCACTGTATGTAATATATATATATACAGTGTACCCCGCATAACGATTACTCCAAAAAGCGACC